CCCAAACTTGCGATAGAATCCGCACCCCTCCCCGTGATGTCTCTTGCTTGGCACTGTCCACAGATTCACACCACGTCTCTGAGGGAGCGTCCTAAGCGCCGTCACAAGCACAGGACAGTGAAGACAGTGCCTACCCACCAGGGATGTTTGAGTTTCAGACTTGACCAGTGTAAAAACGGTGTTAGGGGAAATAATGTAGAACTATGTGTATAAGACAATGCAATGTTGAGCTCTTGGTTATGAATAAGAAAAGGGTGGTAGGAGTCTCTGTAGAGAGTTCATGATAACAGTCAAATATGTGCCTAAAAGAAGGTGACTAGAAAAATTCCGGATGCTACCATTAAGAATACTGAACCCAAGGGGGTGGTGCCCCTTGATCACTCTGCTGACCTAGGGAGCTGGCCCTCCTGGGCTCCTCGGGGCAGTAACAATCAAAAAGACCGCTCTTGGCAGGCTACCACCCTCGGGCACTGGATAAACAGCAGACGGAAGCACTGGGAAGATTCTTCATTTGGCATCTTTAGTTCCGTCTCCTGTTAGCTTTTCCAATAGCTAGACAGGAAGAGAAAATATATGTATTTACTAATTCTGGAGCTTCAGCCTAACAGACAGGCTTCCGGTTTCCCATACTAGAGACTGTTGAGGTGTTGGGACACACCATCCTGGGGGCTCTCAGGAAATTTTTTTCCTCGTGGCACCCTAAGAACTCCACTTCCACCGATAGCACCTTCACCCCTTCCACCATGGGAGGACACAAGAAGGCGACCATCTGCAACCTGGAGGAAGGCCTTAACTAGAACTTGCCCACACTGGCACTCTGTTCTTGAACTTCAAGCCTTCAGAACTGTGAGCAATGTGCCTGGCTGGCGTGGCTCAGTGGTTGAGTGTCAACCTATGAACCAGGAGGTCATGGTTCGATTCCTGGTCAGGGCACATGCCCAGGTTGTAGCTCAATTCCCAGTGTGGGCGTGCAGGAGGTAGCCAATCAATGATTCTCTCATCATTGATGTTTCTATCTCTCTCTCCCTTTCCCTTCCTCTTTGAAATCAATAAAAATACATTTTTAAAAAAAGAACTGTGAGAAATAAATTTCTCTTGTGATAAGCCACCCAGTCTGTGATATGTTGTCATAGCAGCTGCCTTTATTTCTCTTGAGAATGTTGTTGCTGAATAAAGAAGGATGTAAAACTGACAATTTTAACTTGAAATTTGTTCATTTACATATTATTTTCAGAAAAGAGGGAAACTAAATGGTAACTTCTTTAAGGATCTCATATTAATTCTCTAGAAATGTTCACAATTTGGAACTATGCTTGATTATCCATTCAGCAAGCATTTCCCTCAAAATCTCCTCCTCCTCCTCCTCCTCCTCCTTCTTCTTCCTCCCAGGAAAATCACGACATGATTTCTACCTTGGAATAGATCATAGGCATCTGGATATTACACTGGCTTTAGAAGAGACAAATACTACTTTTAAGGTAGGGTCTCTATTTTTTTTAACAGGAAACTGTGCTCATAGAGACTGCCTTGTTACAACTACAGTCATGTGCTTCATGGAATCTAATGAGAATATACCTTTATTTCTCTTGAGAATGTTGTTGCTGAATAAAGAAGGATGTAAAACTGACAATTTTAACTTGAAATTTGTTCATTTACATATTATTTTCAGAAAAGAGGGAAACTAAATGGTAACTTCTTTAAGGATCTCATATTAATTCTCTAGAAATGTTCACAATTTGGAACTATGCTTGATTATCCATTCAGCAAGCATTTCCCTCAAAATCTCCTCCTCCTCCTCCTCCTCCTCCTTCTTCTTCCTCCCAGGAAAATCACGACATGATTTCTACCTTGGAATAGATCATAGGCATCTGGATATTACACTGGCTTTAGAAGAGACAAATACTACTTTTAAAGATCTTGGTCTATGTAGTATCACATAAAATTAGCACCAGTAAAGAGAGGATTTTATGAAATTTTCTTCATGGAATCTAATGAGAATATACCATTAGAGTCTTAAGATTTTTATACTTCCCTTACCACTTGGCGCATTTGAAGAATTAACAGTTTTGCGAACAGTGCTTGTGATTCATTCTTCCATTGAGACCAAGGAACCACACAGTCACTCAACTGCAGGATACACAGATGGCCAGTGTGTGGCAGTGTTTAAATGCTCTTCTGAAAGTTGATGCCACAGCTCTGCAATGATTACAAATGCATCCCAGGGTTATATTTTTCTTTTGTTATTGCTCAGTTTGTCAAGGTTTGTTTGCCAAACAGAATATGAAAAATGAACATGAGATTTTCTTGCACAATTCTTAATAGATATATAATCAAAATGTAAGCTCAATTGCTTAATAAAATCATAAACATGATTTTTTTACTTTTTAAATATATTTTTATTGATTTCAGAGAGAAAGGGAGAGAAGCATCAATGATGAGAGTATCATTGGCCTGCTGCCTCCTGCATGCCCCCTATTGGGGATCAGGCTACCCTGACCAGAATTGAACCATGACTTCTGGTTCATAGGTCAACAACACTCAACCACTGAGCCAAGCCAGCCGGTCATCATAAACACAATTTAGTCACTCAATATGGCTGTAAACAGGTTGTTACTGTGGAGTATCTTGGTATGGACAAAGTATTATTTTCACTGAAAATTCTGAAGACCAAGTTTCTTTTCCCCCCAATAATACTTAAAAACAAACAACAACAAAAAATACATGCACACACACACACATTTTTTGGTACAAGAGAAAAGTAAGGAGACATAATAACTAAATGTAACATGATATTCTGGATGGGATTTTGGAACAGAAAAAAGGACATCACGTAAAAACTAAGGAAATCTGAGTAAACTATTGACTTTAGTTAATAACAATGTATCAGTAGGGGAGACAAATGGTGAGAGAAAATAAAGTATCAATGTGAGTTCACTATTTGTCACAAATGAACCACAAAAGTGCAAAATGTTAATACTGTGGTAGGGAAGCTGTGCAGGGAGGTAATATGGGAACTTTCTGTACTATTGATTCATTTTTACTGGGGGGCTGGCACAGCCCTAGAAAATTTACCGCCGCACTCCAGACGGGTACAAAGGCTCAACAGCGGCCTCCCTTTGAAAGCCTCAGTGCAAAGAGTTACTTCTCGCACCCACCGTTGAAAGGTGTACCCTAAGGACTACTATTTCCGACGTCCAAGAGAACAACGCCACCGGAGAGTCCAGCCTGGCCGCTGCCGGCGCCGAGCATGCGCAGAGACGTCGGCGTCGCGGGCGTGACTCCGACCC